AATGAACTTAAAATATTTATGTAGATTAAAGATAAGATTGAAAACTTTGGCATAATATTTCTGGAAGATATAAAAAATCTAAGTGGAAGTTCTAGCAGACTCAGTGGCTGAAACTAAGATTTTAATGGATAAGGAGATCAGGTAGTATTGAGTATACTAATGACTTATAAGGTAGGTAAGAAGAAAATATATTCAGTAAGGCACAGACAGAATAAAGAAAAAAACAAGAGAGTATGTAATACATAATGCATAGAATGAAATAAGATGCATGTATATGGAGCTACAGAGAAGAGAGAGAGAATGAGGTAATATATGAGAAAACAGGGTAATGTGTAAGATAATGGATGAAAATGTTCCTAACTGGGGCACCAGAGTGGCTCAGTGGGTTAAAGCCTCTGCCTTCGGCTTCAGTCATGATCCCAGGGTCCGGGGATCGAGCCTCGCATCGGGCTCTCTGCTCGGCGGGGAGCCTGCTTCCCCCTCTCTCTGCCTGCCTCTCTGCCTACTTGTGATCTCTCTCTGTCAAATAAATAAATAAAATCTTTAAAAAAAAAAAGAAACAAAAGACAAATTAACTCCAGAGAATTAGTTAGATTAACAATTGACTTCTCAAGAAAAGTGTTAGACTAACGAAGATAGAAGACGCTGAGGTAATATCTTCAAAGTACTGAATAAAAAATAACTTCCACATTAGGATTCTGTGTCCAGTAAAACATCATTTAAGAAAGAAGGTGAGGAACCCCTGGGTCACTCAGTTTGTTAAATATCTGCCTTTGGCTCAGGTCATGATCCCAGGGTCCTGCTCAGCGGGAAGCCTGCTTCTCCCTCTGCCAACCCCTCCCCCTTCTTATGTGTGCTCTCTCTCTCTCTGACAAATAAGTAAATAAAATCTTTTTTAAAAAAAGAATGAAGGAAGATGTGGTCCATATACACTATGGAGTATTATGCCTCCATCAGAAAGGATGAATACCCAACTTTTGTAGCAACATGGACAGGACTGGAAGAGATTATGCTGAGTGAAATAAGTCAAGCAGAGAGAGTCAATTTTCATATGGTTTCACTTATTTGTGGAACATAACAAATAGCATAGAGGACATGGGGAGTTAGGAGAAGGCAGTTGGGGGAAATTGGAAGGGGAGGTGAACAATGAGAGACTATGGACTCTGAAAAACAATCTGAAGGGTATGAAGAGGTGGGGGGTGGGAGGTTGGGGGAACCAGGTGGTGGGTATTGGAGAGGGCACGGATTGCATGGAGCACTGGGTGTGGTACAAAAACAATGAATACTGTCATGCTGAAAATAAATTTTAAAAAATGATTAAAAAAAGAATGAAGGTGAAAAAATATATCACTAGCACTAAATGAAAAATTAAATTCTTCTAGGAGAAAGAAAATTCTCACAGGTGGAAATTTTTATTTTCTTCTGTCTTATCTTCTGATTCACTAATATCTCTTCAGCTTTGTCTAATTTGTTAAACTCATCCATTGAGATCTTAGCTATTCAACTGTTCAATTCTAGATGTAGAAAAAATTGAGCAAAAAAAGAGTCAAATATGTAGGTAAATTTAAATTACCATTGACCATGTAGTAGTAGCAGTAGTAGTAGTAATGATGTCATATATAATAATTCTGTATTGAGTACATGTAATAATTAAATACATGACATTAAGGAAGATGATCTAAAGGTGAGCTGTAAATCACTTAACTTTAATGGGAGTTCCCTGGGGGATCACTCAGTAACCATTTTTAGGTAATGAGTCCAAAGTAAGCTTCAGGCTGAACTTTCCAGCAATCAGGACAGACCCACAATGTCCCCTGGGCTCTCAGGTTGTCATAATTTGCCATCTCATTGGCCACCTTAATCCACAGTCACTTCTGAATGGCTAGACCGGAGCCACCTTTGTTAGGATGGTGCTTTCAGTAATATATTAACAGTCATACAGAGGGATATGTGCAGAAATGATGGTATAATTGTGCTAGGAGAAACATGAAAGAAGTTGCCTTATTACCTGTTAGGAATTTGAAGTTTTCAAGTTTTCCTTTGTCATTTTTCAGAGTCATTAGGGATAAGGGTAAAAATGCTGTCAAAGTTTAGAAGAGTTTTCTGAAATCTTTATTTGCAGAAGCTTTTGAGGATGGAGCTTATGTATTTCTCTTTATGCACAAAAAATCTTTTAAATAGAAAAAGCTATACCAGTTCACATGATTGAACAGTTGTGGCACATTTTCTCTCTTGAACATTTCTCCTGAGCTCCATGGTATATGTACCAATCCAGAAAAACAGGATGTATTCTGCACCAGGAAAACCCAGAAATATGGTAATATTTTTCTCGTGTTTTCTGATGGGTTTCTCTGTTTTTATGCTCCCTGTGTAGAATCCTTTCTGTCTCAATTCCTGCCACTTGTTATTCCCTCATCTGGCACTTCCTTTCCCTTTTAGTTATCTCATCTCTTCTCTGTTCCCTTGGACTGGACGTCAGGCCTCCCTGTTTCTCTCTGACATGGCATTCATTTCTGTGACCTGAAATGTTTTGATCTTCTCCTCAAAATCAGCTCTCTTCCTCCTTTAGGGAAAATTAAACACTTGCATTGGGCATGAAGGAAAGAGAATCTAATGATTCTTTAGCATTCAGCATTCTTAAGTCATGACAACTTTTCAAGGTAATTATATTTAGCTTCATTTTACATATGGGACAACTGAGACAAGAGATTTTATATAGCTTGTTATATTCATTGTTTCTGGTGCTGAAACACACCACATTATACCAGAAACCTGGAAGTTCAGGGAAGCTAGTATCTGATAGCTGTCTGTAAAAGGTGAGGGGGGATAGGACATCAACAATAGACTTTGGGTACCCTGTGATTCACAAATAACCCTCTTCAAGTACTCCAAATGCACAGTGTCCAGAAACTAATTACATCTTTAATTATAGGTATTCTCTACAATTATGTACCCTGAGGTATGTGGAAGTTCAGAACAGGGCATGAAACACTGCATTGAGGCAAACCTTCCTCGTTGACAAAATTTTTCAGACCATTAATACATCTGTTTTCATGTAAGCCCCAAGTGTCCAAATCCCTTACTGGGTCCTAATCAGATCTGTACCTTGTGAGTAGTAAAGTCCTAGACTATTCTTCTCCTGAGTTTCATTCGTTTATTTACTCATTCACTCATTCATGTATTCATTTTTATTTCTAAATAATACTTTTTGAGCAATTCCTTTGGGCCAGTTATAATGCTATATACTCTGGTGTGTCTCATCTTTTTTTTTTTTAATAAGTTAGGTTTAGTTTAATAATTAACATAACTGCTGGCTCAGTTATAACAACTCAAAAGCAAGCTACATAAAAAGAAATTAGCTTCATAAACATACTCAAAACATACTGTTTTTTCATACTCATTGCAACAAAGCTTCATAGCAGAACTCTTGGACCTTTATGAACTTAGTAAACATAAAAAGAAAGTGTTCTCAAAGGCAGGAGTAAAGACCCTACACACACTTTTATGGTATTAATACTTCTGTGTGACATAATATATAGGTGATTAAAAAATATTTTTCAAAGCCAACTTAAAACATTTTATGTAAAATTTACCATTTGATGACTTTCACTAAAAGGCTTGGCGATTATCCAATCAGCCTAACTCAAAAGTTTGTGTGTCTCATCTTTTTTTTTTTTTTTAAAGATTTTATTTATTTATTTGACAGACAGAAATCACAAGTAGGCAGAGAGGCAGACAGAGAGAGAGGAGGAAGCAGGCTCCCCACTGAGCAGAGAGCCCGATGCGGGGCCCGATCCCAGGACCCTGAGATCATGACCTGAGCCGAAGGCAGAGGTTTTAACTCACTGAGCTACAGAAATTTTCAAACTCTACATTAACACCAAATTCTCACACTGATATTCAAACTTGTCTTCTGGATTCCTGGATTTGAAAAAGTTTTTCTTTAATTCTGTGTTAGTTATTGCTTAGCTAGGTGAGAAGGACAGGTAATGTGGACTTCCTTCCTAAGAACAGCTTTAATTCTGGGTGTTGTTTGGATAAATAATGGGAGAAAAATCATAAGTCCTTTGAGAAGTTGAATGTGCCCATCTTGCAGTATGAACCCAAGAGATAGAGGAGGACATGAAGGAACAAGATGGTATAGTCAGTGGTGTTGAAGAGTTATTCTGAGTTTATGGTTATAAATGGGGTTTCAGCCCAAAGTAGGAGGGGAAAAAAAAGGCTAAGCTTTGGAAAGTTAGGAGGTAGTCTGTATTTGCAAATGGCATAAGGGCATAGACAAGAGCTGAATCTGAATAATGACACAAACTGGGGATAGAGATTATGACCAGCATATGTTCCTGTATTGGTCAGCAGTTTCTTTTGGTGAGTTATGTAAAATCTGGGATATCTCTCTGCTGCCTTCTTTCTAACTCATTCCCTTTCTCCTCACTCTGCAAATGTCCAGCCACTATTCCTCTTCAGTTTGCTTTAATGACCCCATTTAAATATTTATGAAAAAATAAAAGCCATTACATGGAAACTGCTTCCTTCTCAACATCACATCTATGCAGTTTGATGGATGAAGTAAACTTGCTCCCACCTATGGGCATGCTCTGCTTCTGCTTTGCAACCCAGCTGCTCTCGGAGATACTATTTCTGCAATTTTTTCTCATTCTTCCTGCAATTTCTTCCTCTCTGCTGGATTATTTCAAGAGTTTGCAAAACATCTTCCAGTTGCTTTAATAACAAAACAACAACAAAATAAACTCTAAGGCATTAAAGAAAGAATAATAAAAGTGGAAAGGGAGTTGATACAGGGTTGGAATCTTATAGAAAAGATTATTGCAGATTTTAGGAAATCTAGAGACTGAGGGAAGTTTATCATTTCAGATCTTAAAGTTTTGAGTAGGCATGAAACTTTGTGAATAGAGAAGAATGCTGAAACCCTTGAATATTTGTTAGACATAAGAGGCTTTATCTGATTTATTTCTTACATTCCAAAGAAAATATTGAAGGCAATGAGAAACCACAGTGTTGTTTCTGAGTTCATCCTCCTTGGGCTGTCTGCTGACTCCCAGATCCAGGCTCTGCTCTTTGTGCTGTTCCTTGTTGTTTACCTCCTGACTCTGATGGGGAACCTGCTGCTGCTGCTGGTGATCAGGGCTGATTCTCACCTCCACACCCCCATGTACTTCTTCCTGGGACAGTTGTCCTTCCTGGATCTCTGCCACTCCTCTGTCAGTGTGCCCAAGCTGTTGGAGAACCTTCTGTCTGAGAAGAAAACCATCTCAGTAAAGGGCTGCCTGGCTCAGGTCTTCTTTGTGTTTGCCACTGGAGGCACTGAATCCTGCCTGCTTGCTGTCATGGCCTATGACCGCTATGTTGCCATCAGCTCCCCTCTGTTGTACAGCCAGATGATGAACAGACAGCTGTGTATAGGGCTGGTGTGGGGCTCATGGAGCTTGGCTTTTCTGGATGCTCTTATCAATATCCTTGTAGCTCTCAATTTAGACTTCTGTGAGGCTCAAAATATACACCACTTCAGCTGTGAGCTGCCGTCTCTCTACCCTTTATCTTGCTCTGACGTTTCTGCAAGTTTTACTGCCCTGCTCTGCTCCAGCCTCCTGCATTTCTTTGGAAACTTCCTCTTGATATTTTTCTCCTATGTTCGCATTTTATCCACCATCCTGAGCATTAGCTCTGCTACAGGCAGAAGCAAGGCCTTCTCCACCTGCTCCTCCCACCTCACTGCAGTGATCTTCTTTTATGGCTCAGGGTTACTACGCTATCTCATGCCAAACTCAGGATACACTCAAGAGTTAATCTTCTCCTTGCAGTATAGCGTGGTCACTCCTATGCTGAATCCTCTCATCTACAGCCTGAAGAACAGAGAAGTGAAGGCAGCTGTGAGAAGAATCTTAAGAAAATGTGTCTAGTGTTATAATTAATAGACTACAGAATTAAAATGATGAGGGGAGAAACTGCATAGAACTGCAATATGTAGTATCTGAATATTAAGGAGAATTTTCTGATATCAGGATCTGCAACATCCCTTATATCTTTTCTTTAAAATGGTTAAGAAAAGGTGGAGTTGTTTTCCTGGTATGATAGTAGTTCTGTCCTATTCAGAGAAAAATGGATGGATGAACCTCTTGTCTTACAATTTTTCTTTATAAAACTATTTAGTGTATTACAGACAATATGGTAGACTTTGTTATTGCTTGCTTGTTATCTTTACCATTTCTCCAGTAACTAAATTCCATGGGTTCAGTATAGTTTCAGAGAGACTGTTAATCATGGTGTCCCCAAATCCTCTTTCCTCCCCCATTCATTATTCACTCTTTGTCCTGGCAAGTGGCTGGTATAGGAATGAGCATATGGTCAATGGCAGACCATTCACTCCCTTAGGAATTTTAATTTTCAGAATAGATTCAGAGAGGCAGAGATAAGTCCTTCTGTTTGTAGCACTCTGATAACCTATCCCAGTGCACCTGCTGATTAGATCACTACTGTTATCCTAGATTCTGTACTTTCAAGGAAGATTGATAAACATGATTAAACCTATATCTCTTCTTAAAGATTTTATTTATTTATTTGAGAGAGAGAGAGAGAGAGAAAAGTGAGAGAGAGTGTCAGAATGAGATAGAGAACACAAAATGGAATTAGAGGCAGAGGAGGAGGGAGAAGCAGACTCCTCATTGAGCAGGGAGCCTGATATGGGGCTCGAGCCCAGAACCCTGGGATCATGACCTGAGCTGAAGGCAGACGCTTAACTGATTGAGCCACCCATGTGCCCTGATAAACATGAATTATATTAAGAGCATGTGATTAGGTATTTACATCATGTCAGGCACTGTTCCAAGAATTTTAAATATATTATCCCATTTAAATGTCACAACAAATGCTATAGGTAAATACTTTAGTGTCCTTGTTTCAGAGAAGAGGAAGTAGACTCAGAGAGGTAAGTGGTGGAGGTGGAATTTGGAACCAAACAGCTTATCCCAAAGCCTGTTTTCTTTACCACGTTGACACACTGACTGTCCCTTTGGTGCTGTGGGCTACCCCAGACCTAGTTCATGAATTTCTCTTTTAATGCTTTACTCTTGTTGTTTTGTTTTAGTTCACTTAAGTAAGTCAGAATTAGATTCTGTCATTTGCAAGGAAAAGACCTAAAAGATATATTTTGGTACTGCAATTAAATTGTAGGTATAGACATCCAAAGACAACCGGGAACAATTGACCTAATGGTCAAACATTTCCAGTTGTGAGAGGGAGATACTGTTAGGTAGCTCTGCCACTCAGCCCTAATAATGCTACAGAAATGGTGGAATGTGAGAAGGTAAATGCTGTGCAGTGCATATAACAAACTCTAGAAAGAAATCGACAGAATTTCAGCAAAAGCCCCTTAGATCATGAAACACAATTAGAGAATTACTGAGAAGGAGATTTGGGAGATTAAAATTATCATGGTCAAAAATTAATTATTATTTCTTTCTGAAATTACCTTTTAGTTTTTTTTTAATATATCCAACTGCTTTTTTTTATCTTTTTTTTTTAAAGATTTTATTTATTTATTTGACAGAGAGATCACAAGTAGGCAGAGAGGCAGGTGGAGGGTGGGGGGGGAAGCAGGCTCCCGGCTGAGCAGAGAGCCCGATATGGGGCTTGGCTTGATCGCAGGACCCCCCACTGAGCCACCCAGGCGCCCCCTACCTTTTAGTTTTTACTACTTTACTTACTTACCCTTCATTTTGCACTCCAGAGTAGCAGAAAATATAAACTCAAAGAGATCAAGGGCCTTTTTCTGGCAATCTTTGATACTTTTTCTAGAATATAAAATAGTTTCAAACATGCATGTTGCACAATAGCTGTATTTTGATTGCGTAAATTTTGGGCAGAGAAACTGGGAAAATATATGGGATGAATTTCCACCAGTGGGATTCCACTGCCAAAACAGTTTGAAATAATTATAAGTAAAATAGTCTACCATGTGAATGCCAATCTTTACCTTCCTGGTGATCCTAGTTCCATGAATTTTCTAACAGCATGGCCATGGTTAGGTATGATGGTTATGCAAAGGTTCAGTAACATTTTCATTCACAAAAGCTATTCTACTGTTGCCATTGGTGAAATTCATTTTGATAAAGGTCACACGCAAATTTTGTAAGATACATTATCAAATAGCTTTTATTTTTTGTTTCTATTATGAATTAAAAATTCAATTATATTTACTACTTGGTTATTTCTAGTACATAGGAATGTTGTGATATTTTGTATACTGAGCTTGTATCTGTTGACTTTGTTGAACTATCTTCCTAGTTATAATGGCTTGTTTATAGATACTATTGGATTTTAAAATTACATTTTAATTATTTCCTCTTAAATAAAAACAAATAATTTTGTTTCTTTACTATTTTCTATTTCTAATTTTTATATCTCATTATTATTATTATTATTATTATTTTAGCTTTGGGAATGATTTTCTCTTTAAAAATTTTTTTTGTTAGATTTATTTTATTTTTTGTTTTTTTTTTAAATTTTCTTTTATCGTGTTATGTTAGTCACCATACAGTACATCATTAGTTTTTGATGTAGTGTTGCATGATTCATTGTTTGTATATAATTGGTGATGGATATTAAGGAAGGCATGGATTTCATGGAGTACTGGGTGTTATTTTTATTATTTTTAAATTAAAAATTTTTTACTTGAGTATAGTTGACACACAATGTTATATTAACTTCAGGTGTACAGCACAGTGATTCAACTTCTTTATGTGTTACACTTGCTCACCACAAGTTTAGTTGCCATCTATCACTGTACAGCACTAATATAATACCATTGACATATTTCTGATGCTGTGCCTTTTATTCCCATGACTTATTCCTTCCATAACTGGAAACCCATATCTTCCTTTCCCTTTCACCCATTTTTGCCCATCCCATAACGCCATCTCTCCTATGGCAACCACCAGTTTCTTTTCCATATTTATAGGTCTGATTCTGTTTTTCATTTGTTTGTTTTTTTTTTCTTTTTTTCCTTTTTCTTTTCTTTTTTTAGATTCCACACATGAGTAAATCTGGTATTTGTTTTTCTTAGTCTGACCAGTTTCACTTAGCATAATACCTTCTGGTTCCATCCATGTTGTCCTAAATGCCATGATTTCATCCTTTTTATGGCTATGTAACATTCCTCTCTCTATATAGCTATATACATATATATATTGAAATACACACACACACAAACGCACCATATGTTCTTTATCCATTCATCTATTGATGGACACTTAGGTTACTTCCCTATCTTGACGATTATAAATGATGTTGCAATAAACACAGGGATACATATGTCTTTTTTTAATTGAAATTCAATTAGCCAACGTATAATACATCATTAGTTTTTGATAATATTCAAGGATTTATTAGTTGTGTATAACACCCAGTGTTCATCATATCACCCTATTACCCCATCCCCCCATCAAGTATTCCAGAGTCAAGAGTCTCATATGGTTTGTCTCCCTCTCTGATTTCTTCCTATTCAGTTTTCCCTCCCTTCCCCTATTGTCCTCTGCACTATTCCTTATGTTCCATATATGAGTGAAACCATATGATAATTGTCTTTCTCTGATTGACTTATTTCACTTAGCATACTACCCTACAGTACCATCCTTGTAGATGTAAATGCTAGATTTATATATATTTTTGAACTAGTGTTTTCAATTTTTGAGGGGTAGATACCCAGTAGTGGAATTATTGGATAATATAGTATTTCTATTTTTAATTTTTTTCCCTGTTTTCAACAGTGGCTGTACCAGTTTACATTCCTACCGACAGTACACAAGAGTTCCTTTTTCTCCACATCCTTTCCAACTCTTGTTATTTATTGTGTTTTTATTTTAGCTATTCTGACAGGTGTAAGGTGGTTATCTCATTGTGGTTTTGATTTGCATTTCCCTGATAATGACTGATTTTGAGCATCTTTTCATGTGTCTGTTGCCATCTGTATGTCCTCTTTAGAAAAATTTCCTCTGCCTACTTTTTGTTTTTGCTTTTTTTGGTGCTGAGTTGTACATGTATTTCATTTTTAAAGTTAATTCAGTGGCCAGAATTCTTGTACAAACATCTTTTTATTGGAATCAGTGAGAAAGCTTAAGTTTCAACATTAAAAATAATCTTTGTTCTGTTTTTAATCAGTACCTTTAACTTAAGAATTCTCTCCTAATTATATTTTGCTAAGAATTGGTGTAAAATTTTATCAGATGCTTTTCTGTTTCCATTGAGGACCAGGACTCTTTTCTTCCATTTAATAATATACAGTGTCTGTCACATAGGGCATGCAATAAATACATATTGAATAAAAAATAAATTCATTGAAATAGTCATATGGTTTTATTTTTTATTTTTCTTAGTTTTTATTTAGATTCCAGTTGCTTAATGTCAGTGTAATATTAGTTTCAGGTGTAAAATTTAATGATTCAGCAATTAAAACAATACTCATTGCTCCTGACAACAAGTGTATTCCTTAATCCCCATCAACTATTTCATCTGTCTCCCCACCCTCACCCTTCTGGTAACCATCAATTTGTTCTCTATAGTTAAGAGTCTGTTTCTTGGTTGGCCTCTCTCTCTTTATTTTCTTTTCCCTTTGCTGTTTTTTTTTTTGTTTCTTAAATTCCATATATAAGTGAAATCATATAATATTTGTCTTTCTCTGGCTGACTTATTTTGCTTAGCATTATACTCTCTAGTTCCAGCTATGTTCTTGCAAATGGCAAGATTTCATTTTTTATGGCTGAATAATATTCCATCCTGTGTATATGCCACATCTTCTTTATCCATTCATCTGTTAATGGACATTTGGGCCACTTCCATAGTTTAGCTATTATAAATAATGCTGCAGTAAATATAGCAATGCATGTATCCCTTTGAATTAGGGTTT